ATTCGAGGTGAATGCCGGTAGTACGGTTGACCCGCGCCTATTTTGAGTCGTTGGCTGCGAAGCTGCCGCAGACGCAGAAGAAACAGCCCCACCACCACCGAGTGTCTACTCAATAAGTTAGTATCGTGAAGCAATCGAGGGACAATGCAGGACTTACAGGGTGGCGCTCGTATTTGACAGGTTCGGAAGCCACAGCCCCCGGGTTACCTTCATGGCTTAAAATAAACTCATGGAGATCTTTCTGGTTATCGACTTGGCGAACAACATCGGCAAGGCTCTTAAGTCCTAATGCCCCGCTCGCATCGGTCTTCAATGGGCTGACGCAAAGACCTTGGCCCAGAAGCAGTTTCTCGCTGAAAGTAGCTGCAAATAATAAGCCGATGAACTGGACAAGAAAGCCACCTACGTAGGAAGGAATTGCACATACCGAACTTCTGCTGCTGTAGGGTCAAGCCCGAGTCACACTCAGCGATCAACTGCTGTAGATTGTGTACAGCCTGAGGTCGGTGGGTAGACACCAGCTCCTGGCGCGCCGTCTGCGCCGCCTGAACCTTAGACCCATAATCGCTATCCGCGTGCTGGACCTTGCGCAACAGCTCCTCCTCGTGCTGCGCCGCAGACTTGTGGCCCTTGAGACCGAACTTCCCACCCTGCTTGTCTCCCGTGCGCACACGGTCATACTGCTCCGCCAACGACTCGTATTTGGCCTTTGCCTTCTCCGCCAGCGACATCGCATCGACGACTTTCTTCTCTGCAGCTAACCCCGTCTGTTTCCATTGCTTGCGGCCGCGCTCGATGTTGCCGGCAAGCTCGTGCAGGTCGTCGGACATCTGGTGGAGGGAGACGGCGAATTGGAGGCCATGGTCGACCATTCGCTCCTGGATTCGGTGGATGTCCTTGTAGCTGGAACTGTATGTTCCTTGTCGGTTGTCGGTGCGTTGCGCCGCATCGCTGATCACGCGGGACAGTTTTCGCAGCCCCTGAGCGTGCTCTTCTTCGAGGGAGCCTCGCTTTTTCAGGAAGGTTGAGAAATCCTAGTAGATATTGTGTTAGCATTCGCGATCGTCGCGGGAGTCCTTTCGCGACTACTAACCCTGGCGGAGGCCACGCTTTGCTTCAGCCGTGTCAGGAGTGTGGTTATCCCGATCTACTCATGATTAATATAATTGCGTCTTTGTTTAGTATGCACCTGAAGGTGGATTCTTTGTGTCTGCTCACATCAGAGTAGATAACTTTGTCTAGGCGGGCTTTCAGCTCGTCTGAGATGGCCTCGTGGGTCGGCTGGGTCTGCTCGCCCCCGTGGCTAGGGGATGAGCGACCGGCGCTCGACGGAGGCGCATCATGCGTTAACGTCGAATCGTGTAGGGCTTGATCCGACATGGAAAGGGTCTTGACTCGTGTGAATGTCAAGAGAGAGAGTTAAATAGAGGGGGTGGGACGGAAAGCCTCACGGGCCACTATTAATGGAGTGGCAGATCAAAATGAGGTCCAGGCACAGGAACAGGGAATGCTGCAGCCTTCTGCAGTCTCAATTGGGCTGAAACGTGGTGAACCTGGCGGAATGTCTTAGTGGTGTTCTAGTGGTGTTCTTGGGGTCAAGACGTAATTGCGGGTTCGGCCAAGTGGATCTTGGGCTTCATTGTACGTATGGAGTGACCTCAGTGTACGTGGTATGGTGAACTAGCTAGCTCTACGTATTTACAAGCTTAATACACAGGAAAAATCACTTTTATTCTGGTATCGTCGCTAGAAATCCATACATATATACAAAAACACCCATGCCAGTAACTCGCATCTACAAAACCGGAGGTGCGACGAAAGAGTCGGGAATACCGTCAAAAACCCAATTGAGAGAATCAAAGACTTCCGAGAACCCAGATTCGCTGAAAAATGCTCCGCCTTCGTCAAACTGAGCTGGCATCATCAAAGATTGATCCTCCAGGGAGCTATCATGTTGCCGCGTCATATGTCCTGACGGACCTAGTATATCTTGATTCGCTGCTATGGCGGCAGCTGTAAAAGGAGATTTTGTTAACAACTGGGATAAAATAAATAAAGGGGGAAAAAGCAAAGAAACTTACCTTGCATCTCTTCGAGGCTTCTCACCGGTCGGAACCGCTGTCGCCAACGCCAAACCGTGTCGTAGACATGACTCATGCTCATCCGGCACCGGACTTTAAGCTGTAGGGCATCTTCTTCAGCGGGCTCTAGACTCGTGGCATTCCACATCTGAGCGAGAATGTCTGCAAGACGAATGGGACGATCGTGATCCATGACACTTATTCGGCGAATTGCTGAGATTGCGCCGTTGAACAGTAGCTTGCCATGGTTGAAATCGAGGTGTCTACTGAAGCTGCTCTTCAGCAGCTTCATGAGAGCAAAAGCAGCCGACACAATCATTTGAAGAATATAGTTGGTGGAGTGGCCGATCAATTCACCTGGCGATGTTTCGAGATCTAATACTCGACTAAGGAAGGAGGTTGTCGCAAGGAAAAGCTTGATCAGATCGTCACTTCGCGCAGTGGATCCTAGAAACATGAAATATCGGAAGTGTAGTTCTGCAGCTCGGAGATGGATCGTATTGATTGCTTGGTACTAGTGTCAGCGTGCCAAATTGGAAAGATACGAAATTAACTCACCAGAGATCTTTCCTTCAAACTCGACATCCATGTCTCTGAGTTCGCATTCCAAAACCTGCACAACCACGAGCTTGTCGGCGCTAATAAACTCCCCAGGCTCGGGTTTACTACTGTATAACGCCTTTGTCACCCGGTCGCAGAACTTCTCGATACGCAACCGAATGACCAGGTCTTCAGGAAGCCGGTAGTCCGCATCCCTCAAAGAAGCAGGCTCGAGGGCCCAGTCGTATATTGTGCTCGGTGGCTGGCCGTAACCAGTCGCAACACTGCCGAATCCTAAATCAGTCTATGATAAACGGCCATATAAAGGAAGCACTCACTTTTGAGCCACGATGTTACAAATAACCCACGTGTGTAGTCGATCCTTTAGAGCTTCACCTTGAACTTCCATGCGGAAAGTTGTGAACTCTTCCGCTTGAACTGGACGGTGTAGCCCAAGCTGCATAGCAATCTGCATCATCAAGCCACTGAGCATGAAGGTTGCATCGGTGCGCTGGCTTGTAGTCGGAAGAGGCCATGTACACAGAACGCAAAGGGCCTTGACCACCCGGTAGTCTTGCGGGACACTGGTAATGGTTGCCCAAAGCAGTCTGCTGAATGGTCCGGACAGTGCGCTCAAGAGCCCAGGCTCATATTGAGACCTTCGGCTCGCAACACAAATCATAGTCCACGCCAAAAGAGGGCATCGGTTGAGATACACCTCCGGGGGCTTGGGTGGATTCAAAAGAGGAAGAAAGGGGTGATAATAAGTGAAGTATCTATACAGATGTCAATCATAGAAACGGGCCAAGTAAATGGGTAGTGCATACTGTTCGAATAATCGAAGAACTCGGGCTCTAGAGAGAGAAACATCTTCCAGTCGCCATTGGCCCTCATCCTGTGATACAATAGAACCATCCCTTTTCATAGTCAAAGGGGTTGCTATAGTTGAATGGGATTCAATCGGCACCGAGACAGGTCGAGATTGGTCAATCGCGGCCGAGTCACGGCGAGCAAAGACATCCTCTGAGCAATGGGACAATTCATCACCAGGCTCATGGGACTCTACACCTTGCTCTTGATCTGAGTTGGGTCCCAGACGGCGGCGGAGATCAGCAATCTCCTTTTCCATTTCAGCATTGCGCCTGTTAATAGAGTCAATAAGATGAGAGAGAAGAAGAAAACCAAACAAAAAAGTTACCTTCTCTTAGAGATGCGCTTGAACGACTGTTCAACTTTACAGTCTATCCCAAGCCGGCGACAGCGCGAACAGGCCGCCGCTGGCGTTTGAACAATATCACAGCGCAGCTTTCAAGGTTTAGAGACATCAGCGCGATTGTCGGAGACCGGATGCGGTCGGGGTTGGTTTTGGGTAAAATCGCATAGTAATTATATGCACATGACTCACCTTTTGCTGCTTACATTCATTACAGGCTTTTCGGCTGCCACCTCGGCGTTTGCCCGTGACAGGCGGAGCCTTCTCCATCTCGCAAGATTCCGAGCTTGTCTGCATGAAATCGATAACCGGGGTTGGCCGGGGTAGAGTGGGGGACCGAAAGTCGGTCGGGGGGAGTGAGTAGTGCGGCCCATCCGGTGCCAGTATGTTCCGATACCCCAAATCCATGGAGATCAGCCTGCGTTCAGCCGGTATAAAACCCCACGAAACGTGAACGAGTGCTCGCGGAGTCCATCTGCCGTAAATCGGAGAAATCGGCCCGCTGAAGGAGGATGTGGGGAGCCTGTCTGCCGATTGAGGACGATGATTTGCGGGAGAATTGACGCCGAGACGAATGTCGGCGGTTGCTGAGTCATCTGGTGCCTGAGGCATAGATGATGTAATCTCTCCATTTCACCTAACTAGTTAGCCCTAGAGCAGGTTTGAAGCTGACCATATTGTTAGGCATAGGCATAGGGTTATGTATTAGGTTAGATACTCCATACTCCACATAGGGATTATACTTCAAAGACTAGTCAATTGCCACTAAGCATTGGAGAGTTCATAGCATCCATGGATATTGCCTTACCACCAGAAGTATATAAACAAAAACACGCAAATAAACAAATTTTAGCTTATATTCAAGTAGAAATCACTGGATAGAAGAAGTATCTAGAGTTCTTAAGTCATAGCCGATATTCCAATATAGTCAAGCCTTATATATGTGGACTTCATGCCCCGCTTGCCATGGACCGAGGTCGATGTGGATTATTTGATTATATGATCTGCATTCAATACATTTACATATTTAACTCCTTGATCCTTTGTTTCTGCAAGAGTTATCATTCCAATATCTGATCTAAGATACGACTGTATGAGAGTGCGTTGTTCTACAGTCCTCCTGCTACTTATTAACCAAGACTAACAACTCAACCCAGGCATCAATCATGTCTGAGATCAACGCCACCGCAATTCTCGTTCCAAAGCCTGAGAAATTTGAAGAAGTTAGCACAGCCCCATACTCTTTGACAGTCTAATAATCTAACATATCGTGTTCCTCTAGGTATCTACTCTTGTAGCCGAAGTCATCAAACAGGTGGAAGAACACGAACCGGACACACTGCTTTACTACGCATTTCCAATCAAGGACAAGAATGAGATTGTGATCGTTGAGCGGTAAGTCAACCATCGAGTATGCCGTGGATACGTCGCCGTCTCTTGATAGCTCCCCCGCATGGAGAAAGCAGATGTGCCTCGGTCCAAGTACTTTGCCGTCCAAGATTCTGATCCTCCAATATACAGGTATAAAAATCAAGTGGCGATCCAGACCCACGTCAAATCACCCTATTTCCGAACCTTCGCAGGGAAATTATCCACTTTATTGACGAAGCCGGCGGAGATCAGGGCAGGTGGATTCCTGAGTGGTTCGAGGGGCGTATCGCGACTGTAGTTGGTTGTATCTGATGTCTGGGGGTGGTTGGGTCGATATAAATAGGATGCATCAGCACTCCCAGAATGATTCGACATTGAGTCGGCCATGTCCCGTCACTCGTGATCGACTTGTCATGCGATTGGTGCATTAGTGGTGGCGGCCCAGCAGATATCGGGAGGTCTGTGAGATATTTAGGAGCAATTCGGCCCTATCAGACTAAGAACCGACGACGGGGGCATAGAGCAGGGTATTCACGACCATATATCCTCCGTACTTTGTATATTCTCGATTCTGATATTCTATTTAGACACCCTCAGTGTCAATATTTAGAAATTAAGTGGAGACGGACTCTTTTTCTTCAGAAAAAGAATCTTGACCTTGGCTAGGGGAACTAGTCCAATCACTTTTCCCTTCTTTCCCCTTTCTGCCTCTTCTTCCTCTTCTTCTTCTTTATATATGTTTTGTATTGTTCTTTTGGTGAGTTCCAAATCTTCCTTCTGTCTCCACATCTCTCCCACCCCCTCTTTTCCCAAGCTCCAGTCTCCTAGCTTCTTCCCTTCAAGCTGTTCCCCCCCCTGAAGCTAAAGCTGATATTCTGAAGATACCCTTGCCTTGTTGACATTGTGTCCTTCTACCTTATCGCTGCCATCCCCTTATCGCCCAGCCCCTGTTGCAATCTGCCTTGATCTGGCTTGATTCATACTTTTTTTTTGCGACATGGCGTCGGGTCCGGCTACTCAGTCATTGAAGGTGAGCATCGGATCGAATCAGCGATGCGCGGCGTGAATTGACAGTCCATCTAGTGTGTGGTGACCGGTGATGGTGCGGTTGGCAAAGTTAGTATAATCCCCCGACACTATCCCTACTTATAATCGTGCAATAGATGTTGACATCCATTCCTTCAGACATGTCTTTTGATCTCCTACACAACGAATGCATTCCCCGGTGAATACATCCCTACTGTGTTCGTACCCTCTGCCCCTCAATGCGAAACCTTGAATCCCGAACGGATATTGATTCCATAACAGCTTTGACAACTACACGGCCAGTGTTATGGTTGACGGCCGGCCGATCAGCCTGGGACTGTGGGATACTGCTGGACAAGAGGATTACGATCGCCTGAGACCGTTATCTTACCCGCAAACCGACGTCTTTTTGATCTGCTTCTCCATCGTCAGCCCGCCATCATTCGATAACGTCAAAGCGAAGGTACGAACGGGAACATACCAGACTCTTTCTAGTTTCATGCGACTAACCGTTCCCCCGCTTCTAGTGGTTCCCTGAGATCGAACACCACGCCCCTAATGTCCCCATCATCCTCGTCGGTACCAAGCTCGATCTGAGAGACGACCGCGCCACTATTGAAGCCCTCCGCGCACGCAAGATGGAGACCGTCTCCTACGAACAAGCCCTGGCCGTCGCCAAGGAGATTCGCGCACATAAGTACCTTGAATGTTCGGCGCTGACACAACGCAACCTGAAGAGCGTGTTCGACGAAGCCATCCGGTGAGTCTTCATATCCTTTCCCGGACCGGTTGTGGATATCCGTTTTCTAACTGTCTACCACAGGGCCGTTCTCAATCCCCGTCCCACTACGAAATCCGGGAGGAAGGCAGTCAAATGCAATCTCTTGTAAAGCACGTTTGTTTGGCTTGACTCGTCTCCCCATGTTCTCGTATGCTACAATGAGTAATATAGTGTTAATACGGCGTCTGGGTAGTTAGAGGCCTTTTTTTTTTAATTCCGCCGGCCGCCTCTCAGTGCTGTTTTGTGATGAAATCCATTGACCGTCTTTCTTGGCGATATTTTTCTGTCTTTGCCTCTCTCGGCTTGTTCATAGTCTGTCCCAATTCTATCGCGATGTTCTTGATTCCGAGATTATACCATGGTCGTTCTAAGTTATTAGTTCATGTCATAGATGTCCACTCGGGCAATGTTTGGGAAGAAAGCACAGAAAAGAACATATGAATTGGTATCTTCAAAATCAAAACAATAGAGACATGAAGTAAGTACTTTTTGGAATACATAAGAAAAAAACCAGCCAAACCTGATGCTCCCGGGAATGCATGGCTATCAAAATGTCCAGCTGCCTGCAGATGCTCCGGACACCTTGCTGTACACTGTTCCAATCCCCCAACGAGTTGAGACCGTTCCAAATAAGCCACGACAGTGAACCAGCGACTTTTTTGATTTACATTCGGCCTCTGCGGCTAGGGTGCAGACCAGCCCACTGATCGTTGGCAGCGCTGCCAGCGTTGTCGGCTGCGCCGTCCAGGCCAGCAGCATTCGCACCGGAGCCGCCAGCCGGGGCAGCCTTCTTCTCGTGCTTCCTCTTGTCCTTCTGGATATCCTTAGCCTGGCGCTGGCGCTCCTCATTGAGCTTCTCGTTCTTGGCCTGGATCTTGGCATTGCGATGTTCGGACTTGGCGCCGCCGCCACCAGCACTAGAATTGAGGGTTAGTATGCGGCTATGACTGCAGTTGCTTGGAGAGCAATTATATTCTCGAATTGGGGGTAACTCACGTCAGCTCGACGTTCATGCGTCGGGGTGGGTACTTTCCGTCGTCGAAGTTGGAGTGGTGGTACAACTTGAGACAGGTCTTCATGCGGTCGTAGTTGTCAAACTCGATGAATGCGAAACCGCGGCACTTCTTGGGGTCTTCTTTCTTGGTTGCGACGCGGATTGTGGCCGGGGGTTCTTTTCAAAGTGCTTGCTCAAGGAGTCATGGTTGGCGGAGTAGGGAAGGTTGCCTGTATATAGGAATATCCTTTGGTTAATCCTGCGTCTTTGGTTCGGGATAATTCATCTGGATTGGAATCACTTACCGACAAAGCAGATGAAGCGGGAACTCTTCTGGGCTTGCTCGCCCTCCGCAGATTCAGCGGTAGGCTCTTCTTCGGTCTCAGCAGCGGGCTCGGTCTTCTCCTTCTTCTGCTTTTTCTCCTTCTTGTCCTTCTTCTTGTCTTTCTTCTCCTTCTTATCGCCGTCCGCCTTCTCGGCAGGGATCACCTCAATATCCATAGCGTCCTCGGAGGGAGCAGCAGGCTCGGCGTCGGTCTCCTCGGCCTTGCGCTTCTCCTTCTTCTCGGACTTGTCCTTCTTCTCGGACTTGTCCTTCTTCTCGGACTTGTCTTTCTTCTCAGATTTGTCCTTCTTGTCCTTCTTGTCCTTCTTCTCCTTCACCTCTTCCTGTGCCGGAGCAGCAGTTTCAGCGGGAGCGACAACCTCGGACTCCTCTTGCGACTTGCGCTTTTCCTTCTTTTCCTTCTTGTCTTTCTTGTCCTTCTTCTCCTTCTTCATCTTCTTGCCCTCGGGCTCGACGACCTCATCCTGCACGAGTTTGCGCTTATCGCCCATTGTGTTTGTTTGGGGTATATGTTGTGATGAAAAGAGTCAATGATAGGATGCGAAAGCAATCGGGACGAATGAAAGTTCGGGTAATTTGGGAAAACAAGAAAAAGAGGTGGAGAACTTTGCAGCGCAACGAGACTCAAGCTCCAAAAAAAAGTCGGGCGGAGAGAAAAGTGAAATTTATTTTTGCCGTGTCTCGGAAGGCGGTCAAGGGGCTTGCTGATAAGCCCTTGATTTTTATAGTACGCAATTTATCTACTTACTACAAGCAATTGTTTGAATACGATCATTCAAGTGTGCATTTACTCGAATCATATACTAGTATAAAGTTCGTGACCAGCGCTCTGTTAGATCAGAACACCAAGATCTTCACACCCTTCTTCACCCCATAGCGCTCACGCAGTTCCGGCCGAGTAAGCAGCTTCAACAGCGGCATATGCGTGTCCTTCATGTCAAAGATGCCTCTTTGCTTCTGGTCAATGTGCGATCCATCAATGACAATGCGCTCCAGTTCCTCCAGGTTGAGAGTTCCTAGAAGATATATCAGCATCTGTATATGTAACGAAATGGAGCTATCTATAGATAGTAAGCAAGCAAACTCACCAGACTCGATCAAATCTGAGATTCTGGTTGGGGTTCCAGCCCCGATACCAGACCGAGCACGTTGAAGGAACTGCTTCGCTTCCTCCAACTTGATGTGTTTCGCGAACAGCTTTCCTACAATGCTATCCTTGGTTTGGAAAGAGCGCAGTGCCCTATTAACCCCAATTGTCAGTCCCGGCTTCGATTCATTCCAGAAAAAAGCGACTGAAAGTTGTCCACTTACCGTACAACATCAGCGGCTCGCATAGCAGCACCCGAAATAACTAGTGTATGAGGGGTGCCGTTCTTCTCGGACGACTTTGACAGGTCGGCACCTTTACTGAACGATTTGAGGAATTCGGGGAGTTGCTCGAGCTTTCGGCTGGAGGTGAAGGAAGAGGTATCGAGGAATGCGGAATCTATAGCTTGGTTAATGTCTAGAACACTCCTCGGCCTTGGCCGACAGAACAAGAGGAAGTATACATACCTGGAATCGAAAGATCACTCAGTTCAACAGCAGAAAGCTCTTTTTCGTGTCTTTTGGCTTTCTGCGCAAAGTGATCGCCTAACAACCGGCCGTCCATCTTGCCAATCGAGTCGTCAATGCCGTCTTTGCGTGTTGACTGATGCTCATCGTGTTCCGCCTGCTTCTTTTTGTTCTTGTTCTTCTTCTGCTTCTTCTTGCTTGACCCCTCTGCGGGTGTGCCTGCTTCGGGCTTTTCTTGCTTGAGAGCAGCGTCGTCGGCTTGTCTCTTGCGCTTGTTTTGGAGCTTATTGGAAAGCCCTTTGGGGGCGTTTGTGTCAGCCATTGTAAGAATAGCCAGTATGAACTCGGCAACAAAATCTTCCGAGTATTTTGAGCTTCGATTAGTAAATGCAAGTCTCGAAGACTTCATTGCGCAAAAAAAAAGCCGGCTGATTCAGCCAATCTTATCGATAAGAAAGGGCCAATCACGCACTGGCCCGCAATTGTTGTTTCTAGACGCGACAGACAAACATCGACATCCTGTAATTCACCGTTTGCCCAGCTGATCTGGGATTTTATTGTGGTGGGGATCACATATGTGGTCTATTATATTGTGCATGATATAGTTGCACCTATCTTGCAGAAAAAACAAGCCATGTCAACTTCTACACCCAACGCGCGTGGCCGTCGGTCACCATTTGGGACCGCTACCCCATCTGGGGAAACAACATTGACCGGAGTCAGTGCTACCCATCACCGTTTGAGAGGCTAGAAATTGATAACCGTATTATCTCCCTACAGCTTCAACGCCTTCCTATCCATACCCGATACCCTCTTACGCCAAGTCGACTTGTCACCGCAACCACCCCAGGCACCCAACGGTCCGCCTCTCGATATACACCACGCCCTCGAGGCGTGGGTGCTCCAGCAACGCCACATGTAATTCGTGCCCGGCAACAACGAGCGGCGAATACCCCTGGTCGGGATCGCCGACGAAGCGGCAGAGTGCAGCGGGAGACTACATTCGATATTCTCAGAAACCTGGGCAAAGGTAAGAGCTTCGCCACGTATCATTCGATATGAGAACTGGACTAAAATACTTGGGTTGTCTTAGCGCTCGCTCCTGTATCTCAACCTATCCGATCCTCGCCGCAGGAGAAGCCAGAGCCTATGGAGGAGCCAATTGATGAATTTGAACAGCTTGATAATGAGCCGGAAATCGAGCGACCACGGTTATCATTGCCTATTCAAGAGTCTGAGGAAGAAGGCGATGAAGTCAGTCCTGAAATGAACCCCCCGAGGATGTCTCTCGCCTTCGCAGAGGAGGATATGGATATGACTTACCGGTCTGTCGAATACCCTCGCGACGCTAGCGTCAGAGACCGGGACCGTTTATCTATGATGAGCCGAGCTACCGGAAGAATCAGTGGAGATTTCGACGAGACGAGATTAGAGAGCGATGATGCAGACGAAACTGGTATTGTGGGCGAGGATGATGAGGCAGAGGATACAATGATGAGTGGGGGCGACTTTGATCGAGGGTAAGTATACAAGAGTTGGATTTTCTATGTTACAAATAATGGCTAATATGACAAATAGGGGAGAGACGGAAGACCTGGGTCGCTTCCACTTTGATCTTAACTTTCCATCTCCTGCAGCTGCTCCGCTTGAATATCCCGCTGACGAAGATATGAACGATATGGAGGATTTCGAACTGTCCACCGCGGAGCAACCCCAAGCTCCATCAGACGATGATGATGACGATGTTGGAGGTGATTTTGGGTTTGGACTCGAGTTCCCACCCGCAGCATCCCCCAGTGAGAGCCCCGGCATCGTTGGAGGTGGATTGCGAGATGAAGCTATCCCAGCCCAGGGAAAGCAAAAGAAGATTTCACGACATGGAATTCCTGTCCCAAACTTGCCTGCAGGTGTGGTAAAAAAGCTAGCGACTCGCTTCGCGCGTTCGGGGGCTGGATCAAAGGCAAAAATCAACAAGGCCACACTGGCCGCCATCGAGCAAGCGTCCTCTTGGTACTTTGAGCAAGCAAGCCAAGATTTGGCTGCATATTCAAAGCATGCGGGACGGAAGACCATTGATGAGAGCGATGTCACCACATTGCTGAGGAGGTCAGTTTCAATGGAAGCCAACCAGCGCATGGGAGTAATTGCTGACTTGTTCCAGGCAACGCCATATCAACAAAACGACCACAGTGTTTTCCCTCGCCCAGAAGCATTTACCCAAAGAACTTCAGCAAGACATGAGATTGTCCATGCCTCCATGAATAACAAAATTCCCCATGAAAAGTAACGCTTTCAACGCCAATGAATTATGCTAAGGTAAAGCTGGAATCCCACTAGATTACCAGTTTCGGTTCTGGCGAACTCGGCGCAGTGCCTCGTTGGGGTTCCTCCGTACAACCATCCACATCATGATGGTCGTGGCCAAAGACAGGCCATACCTGCAAAGTATGAGCGACAATCTCGAGTGGGAAGAAAAAGCACAACGGATCTAACTTACCAGGTGAAGATGTATTGAGAATGGTTGTTTCTCAAATTCACCTCTGCGGCGCGGCCAATCGGGATACCCTTAGCCTCGCGATCACAAGACTCGAGGAAGTCAGGAACTAGAAACGCAAATCAATGTTAGCCATGAATTAGCAAGATTATTCAATATAGGCTCATTACCCATTGTCTGCTCAATCCAAACAGGCTGGCTCCCGCTCTTCTCTGCCATCTGATTGATATCCGGGAAGTAGAACTTTCCCTCGTCCGGCTTGTTATCCGGCGTGAACATGTTTTTCTTCCATGGCTCTCGTAGCAAACCTTCCACGGTCACCTCTCCATCCGGTACACCCAAAGGTCGGTCCTTTTGGTCCTTCAATTTCCTTGAGATCCAACCCCGGTTCACAAGTACGGTGCTCTGTCCCTCTCGCTCGAGGGGAGTCACTACGATGAACCCGTCCTCTCCTTCGTTCATGCGGGGGCCAACCAGCATTTCTTTGTCATGACGGAAATGGCCGGTAGCGTACACGCGGCGGTAGTCGAACTCTGAAATGGCATCCGGGTCGACTCGCGGCGGCAGTGGCAGAGGAGGTTTCACGAGACGGTCCTCGAATTTGGCCATCAGTTTGGTTTTCCAGCCCAGGCGTTGTACCTGCCATGTCCCCAGGATAAATGAGATGATAGGGATCAGAGCTATAGTGTAGAACAATACGTTAGTAATTATCTCTAAATATAGCATTTTCGAGAATATGTAGCATTGAACATTAACATACCCAAGATGATCAGACCAGGTCCATGTTTCTTATTAACACGCACAAGCCGCGCCGGGTGGTCTACAATATTCAGACCATCGGCCAGCTGGCGTGATTGAGAGATATGGCGGAATTGGTGTAGGCGGTATTTGGCGCAGAGGAAATTGATCTTGGATGGTACACGAGGGTTTCGAAGAGCGCGAGTCGGAGGCGTCCAGGCCCTCGCGGATGTCTTCTGCAAAGCAGAGAAGATTGGCCGCATGTTGACAGTTTAGAAACCCGAAGAATGCACTCTTAATTGACGTTCGGATGGGGTTGGAGTTGTCGTTTCTGCAAATGCGACGGCAGTTGGGAATTTCGGGATCGGTGACCGCCCAGGCTTCTCCTATCGACAACATTGTATACTTGTCACTCCGCACTGGCGCTTAGTCTTCACGGAATGCGATTATGACGATTTTCTACATCGGAGGTCTTCAGGAGGGCATTAGTGCTGCAGTGAGAGATGACAAAGTGGTTACTTGTTTTGTTAGAGGTCGCTGAATGTTCTCCCCGCATCGAATGACATGTTGCTGATCTTGGGACTTGAGCATATAGATGACGAGGAGTTGAGCTCTGAATGGGAGGAGGACTATTTTGGTGATGCTGAGGTATATATACTCACTAAAACTGAATGTCGAACGGTATCTGATTCTCTACAGGTTGTA